CAGTTTACTGAATGATGTCCACTAACCTGAAACAGAYGGAGMGGAGCTCTTTAGCTGAAATCGAGWGCCTGCAGTCGGTGTCCTGACAGGAGATATCCGCACCAATGCGTGGCAGCGACTCATCAGACTGGAAAAATAGTCCTGAAAGCGAGCTGTGAGCCTCTACTCTGAATTATCTGGTGAATTAATTATGAATTAATTATCTGATGAACGTGACATGCTCTTGCTCTCTGTAAATAAAGCAAAGCCACTTCCTCGTCCGACATTAAACAGAGCCCGACAGAGGATTCAATGGCATTGCAGCGCTTCAAGAGCTGACCTGTGTCTGACCTCAAAGTGCACGAGCGACCAACTTCAGCGTTRGCTGCGATTTTGAAGCTGAAATCGCGTTCAGTGTGAACGCAGCATTAACATACAGATTTTGGTCCTGTCTAGATCCTTTCAAAAGGTACAGTGCTTATGTAAAGCTATAAAGCTCTTTCTTTCTTTTGTATGATTTTGTTTCTAGAAACCGTGCCTGAAACAGTTAATCAAAAACCGTAACTTCATTTGATTTTAAAAGTCTTTGATTCAATACTTTAAATCACGTGACAGACTGGTGCTAAGTGTGCACCATGTTTCATAGGGACAGTTAGTCGTCACACAACACACTGCTACAATGTGCTTCACAGAACAAAAGACAAATAAGGCCAAATGTTTGTGACTAAAAAAAACAAAAATGAAAAAAATGAAAACACTTCACAATAATTAGTTCACCACAATAGCTTTGCATTAACAATTCTGAACAAACAAAAAACTAATGCATTTTTGACTAAAACAGCAACCGCACAAAGACAATCATTATATTGACAACATGCACACACAGTCCTGAATTATTGTGCACAAACTGGTGTACAAAATTAGAAAAATGTCAGGAGCTACCACACACTGCAGATTTAACAACCTAGTGGCTTTACACACACAGATGCTACTTACTTTGAGAAGACATCGAGTCTTATTTTGCAAATGCTGACATGTTATTAGAAGAAACTCACAAGCTGTACTTCTACACTTCTACCATAGAGGACTTGCATATCTCAACTATAATGAGGAGCTTGCATGTATTCAAACTGATTCTGTGTCAAAAATATATTTCCAGAAGAAGAAAAACAAAGTTTTAGATTGAGTACAAGGGCTGTACTGTATATCACAAATTTATCATCATTGCGATATTAACAGCCGGTGCAATGGGCATATCATAAAAAACACTGGTTTTCAGTATTTAGAGCATCCAAAACCATTTAATGGGGGGCCAATAAATGTGTCCTTTTGCCCCGATTTGAAACACTGGTCCAATGGATTCTTCTTGGCCCACCGTTTTTACTAAAAATCTGGCGGTATAAAAATTTAAAGTTTCAAGTCCTTGTGTTAATGCCTTTATTATTTGTATGTTTTTAAATATTTTTGTCAAAAATAAAACGAGCTGGTATAGCGTAATAAACATGCACCTACAGCGGGTCCCTTTGTTTTTCAAATATTGCCTTTAAGTTAATTTTGTTGTTTGGTGATATTAATATAGCCAATTGATATTCTAAATTTGATCTAATTTTGCTTCTATTTAGCATTGTCCGGGTTGATAGGCAACATGATGTACACCGGGGTAAGGATGGGGGGCAAGACTGTCCAAATTCACAGCCACTTTTTTCTGGCCTTCGTGTGGTCTACCAAGGACCCGGCCCACCTAAACAGGGTAGGCCGGGTCCTTCGAAGGGCCCAGCCTCTGAATTTGGACACAGCCAATGTTGCAGGTCAAACTTTCAAATTTCATGTTTTCCTTTTTGTTCAACATGTATGTTGGACACTAGAAAATAATTTCAATAAATAAACAGCACCACCTCATTAGTAAAATATAGTTTTCGTAGCTCGTTGCATTATTAGGTTTTGTTCAGAAAACCTGTGGAGCACTAACCTGGAACATTACCTGCTTGCAATATTAAAACATTTAACATTTGGTTAATTAGGCAATGGTAAATATATTTTTATCAGTTCATACACAATGACTTACCAAATTAGTATCTTAAAATAATGCAGGTTGATAAAATTTAAGAATTGTGTGCTTAACCAAAACCCTGTAGTTCTGACTAACTTCAGAGCTTATGCCTGTCAGATTATTACTTAAAAGAAAATCCACTATATATACGATGCATGGCAAGTCCTGAGTTTGATTCAATGGTGCATCTTCTTCTTGGTGTGTGTCATTGTCCATTAAGTAATTTCCGGAGCCAAGGCCCTGGAGAAAGCCTCAGCCTTAACATGCATCTTGATCACGTCAAAGCCCTAAAGCACCTKCAGCATTCTTTAGCCGACTCATTTTTTCCCACTCACACAAACCAAAATGAGTGAAAGGTGAAACAAGGGTGCAGCTGCTGTGGATGTTTCCAGTATCGAGTCAATACTCACTTGACGATGAGAGTATTTCAGTAATACAGTTCAAAAATTATTTCGGTCTAACATTGTATTGAAATAAAATGTGTCATCTAAATTGGATGCATCTATTTCATGTCGGACACTATTAGTCAATAAAAAGATAAACTGATCGTAGTTGCTGCAACCTGTGACTAGGGTTGGGCAAAATCGTATTGTGTGCAATTAACTGTCAAAAAAAACTTTATTCAAATTTTTTTATATATATTATTTTTATTTTATTTTATTTTTTGGTACTTGACGATTAATGCCACCAGGCAGACTGACTGGAGATTTCCCCAGTCAGTCTGCAATTTAATACACAATTAAACGCAATTTAAATATTGACGTATAGCCTGAAGTTTGTACTTTTGACACAATTCGGAACATATTTTTACGGAGAGCAAATCTTTCCCACTAGAGTGATTTAAAYTGGTCATGTGACTAGAATATGAGGAAGTCCATGAACTCCAGGGGATTAATTGTCATTCATTAATCGTTATCAGCTAMATACTACAATTAATCGTGAATAACTTATGTGCCAATATCACACAACCCTACCTGTGGYACGTCTAACTATTTACCAAATGCTACAGCAGGATCATCAAATGGTGAATCGTGGCCCAGATCTTACTTGGACTCAGATTGGTTGACTTTATGTACGATAAAAGATAAAGTGAAGAGGAGCTGAGGAAGTAAAATGCAGGTGTATTAAGTAATATTAAATTAAACAATAGTATTGCACATTACCAATTTTGTGCAAAACTATTTGCCAGGCACACAGTAAACTGGCCCAGTTTTCTCACTGCTTACTGAAGTCTGCAGAGACAACTCGACCCACGATCACAAAAAGGTAAAGATTAAAGGGAAACTAGTTATTTATCCAAAACGAATCAACTGATGTGTCAGTTCTTCCTGACACATCAGTTCTTCTTAGGGCTGGACGATATGGCCCAAAAAAGAAATCTCCAATTTTTTTCACTCCAAATTCGATTTTCAATTTTAATCGATTTYGCTTCYCAYKTAAMRGAGTGCCTCTGTTTCAGGTGTTGAAACAGGTTTTTTTTGTACTCCTGCTTTTTGTATCAAGAGCCTTCAAACAGATTTTACAGTGAGGTGTTCGTTGCTCCAAGTCCGAGGTTGCAAAACCTAACCAGTTCCAGAAAACTGAAGAAACAATGACTTTTTTAGGGAAGTAGATCCTCTTTGCTAGCTGCCATCTTGTCATGTCGTGTACCAAACATCTTAAGGGACAGGTGGGGTGACCTCTGAACTACAGAAGCCCCAAAGAGTGCACTAGTGGGAAAAAAAAATCTCGATTTTCTCCAAATTAAATCTTTACAAATGGCAAACTTGAATTAATGGATTAAATCGATTTATCGCCCAGCCCTAGTTCTTCTATAACCTGTTTGTCTAATCATTTCAGAGAAGATGGTTATTAATAAAGTCTACATGGTAAAGCGTTAATACAAAATTCATACCAGGCACAATCAGATCCAGCAGAGTCCCAATAATAGTCACCTGAATAACCTGTTTTTAATCATTTACCCCCTCACACACACACATACATATCCATTCTCACCTTTATAGTGAACATAAAAATTAATGACATAAAATAGCGTTTCGCATTTTATACCATTTAGTAAAATAAAGATGGCATGCAAAGGAAAGAGCTTTGAAAATATGTCAAAACAGTGTTGGTCTTTAAAAATGTTATTTTATTCTTTTTTTTAATCTCATTGTGCATGTGAATAATAAAACACCTCTCCAATCCTGCATTCGTTTTGGGTTAAAAAATAACTTATTTCACAATTGCCTAACCTAAATTTAAAAAAAGACCAATATATAGCGTGTAATATAGTACACCAGTTTTAAATTGGAAACAGGACGCAGAGCAGACAGTGGAGACTGAAGCAGGGACCCCAAATTAGATCAGAGCGATGATGGAGAAACACTGCTCAGCTTACAGGCCGAGCATTGGTTGTGTGGCTCTATCTACGAGTCCACCATGCCTTCACAAAACAGGATACCCTGGGTCAGGTCGTCCGACATGACTAATAATCCCGACATCCAGGACCGAGACAGCGACGGGGCGCACCTTCCGCTTTTGACGCTTGCGTAACAGCCCGGCGCTGTAGCTTTAACTCTTGCTAAGCATGTGATTGGGTGGCAATGCCGCTTTGAGATCCAATCTAAAGTCAGTTACACAATAATTAGACCACATTCTGCAGTAATAGAAGAAGGCATGGGGTTTTGATCAGGTCAGGTGCCAACATACCCCCCACCACCACCACCTCCTCCCTTTTCTTCCCCACCCCTCTCCCCGTGGCCAGGCACGGCCCTGCCCTGCTCCGGCGCGGCCTGCCTCCCTCCCTCCCTGTCTGACCACACCGGCCCGGGGAACTGGAGCGCCACGATCCAATGACTCTGTGACACAGCCCCTGGCACCACAGCTAGCTTGACACATTCTCCAGCTGGGTTAAAAGAGGCGCTAGCCCACATCGGGTCTGGTGCATGCAGCAGGGGGTGGGAAATAAGAGAACTAGAGGCGTACTCACGGCTGACTTTCATGCTGCCGAAAGCAGATGGCTGCGGCACTGGTTTGCAGCTCTCGGCGAAAGATGTGGTCCTGGGCCGACCCGACATGATGATCCAATCCCGTTGATTCACTGCGACTTGCTAAACGGCACRGCTGATCGATTCGCCAAAGCTTCTCATCCAAAAAGGATGTCAGTATGTTAATATCGCTGATTCTCGGGAACTTTAAGAGACTCCCTTATATTATTATCCCACTTTTTATGTCACCTACAAAAGTGCCCTTTCTTCTTTCTCACCGATGGGTCAATCAAAGCATCATTTCCTCCTGAAACTCCAGGTTTTCTTTCAACGGGCCTCAGAAGACACGTCTCCGACTAAAATAGTCATGAATCTGGCCTCTCCCCGTGGCCCCCTCTGTTCAAAGCCGAATGCGAATTGTGCCTGTGTGAACTCCACAAATATAAGAATTGAATAGTTCGGGTGTTAATCTCATGTAAATGTGCTGTTTTCTCGTCGATTCAGGACACATGCAGCTCCTCTTCATATCCCGATGTGGAGGCTCAATGATCCGACTGCCATGGCGGCTCCCTCGCTATACCCGAGCCTACAGACCGTCCGACGGAAAAACTGCCTGGCGCCACGGTCTCCTTTAACGAATTAGCCAAGTTTACGCTAACGCCAAATCCCGTCTCGCCGTCGTCAAATTTCGGCGTCTGTACCGAGGCCCTGGGGCGGCGAGCTTCTCAGAAAATAACGGTCTTAAGGTACAGAGCGCGACGATACCGACCGAGCGACCGTCTTTCTTTTTATTCCTTCCCCACAGGTTTCGGGCTAGCAGTCTTTGTCGCTGCGCATAATACGTACGCAGTTTTTGTATAGGGTTACAGAAGTCGCACCGCCGTCGAGGAATAAAGTTCACGCTKCTGACGTAACTCGTGATAGAGAATAGAAAAACCGTGAGCGCATTTACGCTACATCTGGGGTGGTGGATTGAACCAATCAGAGATCGTATCCTTCAGAAATGGGCGTTCACCGGTGCGCCTGTCGTCCAATGAGAGCGCACGTCTTGAGCACCACATGGCATAATTTGCTCAGCGCCGCCCTCACGACTTCAAAGGCTTTTTCCCCGTGCCATGACGGGGACAAGAGGCGGAGCTTCACGCAAGATTGATGTTTTTTCCGACCAATGGAGCTCCAGGATCCAGCTGTCAGTTGAATATGTCTGTGCCCCAGCTGTCACAGAGCGCCGGTGGTCATGCAGCACTGTTGCTATGTTAGTCACAAAAGCCTACCCCTTTACCTTTCATGGAGACGTTTTTTTTTCCCCAGGATATGTGCCTTCTGGTGCATCCTGTTAATTTGTGTCATATTGCTTAATAATTGTAATAAATGCTTTGCCATAAATCAGTATTGCTCATTTAACAGCTTTGCTTCACATCCTTCTCCACAATCTTACATAGTGTAAATTTGACCTATTTTTCAACACTTTGGGTCTAGATCTAGTAATTTAAGTCTAGGAATTGTGTTGTTTTTTATGTAACCACTCAAATTAAACATATGGTTACAATGCTACTATTTTGGGTTTTTGTTGCACAGTTGGTAATTTGTATTCTTACGTGCATATTATTTCACCTTCTGTTGTAGCTACTAGCACAAGCTAGTGCATCTGGTCTCATGCTGCTYCCAAGCCTGGGTAAATGGTGAGGGTAACATCAGGAAGGGAATCCAGTGTCAAACACTTTTGCCATAACAAATGTGTTAAGTTGGTAGAGCTGTTGCCTCTCAGCTAAGGTTGCAGGATTGAATCTAGCTCCTTCCTGGGTAGAGTTTGCATGTTCACCCTTTTCAGTCGTTGTGTCCTTGGGCAAGACACTTCACCCGCCTTGCCTACTGATGGTGGTCAGAGGGTCCGGTGGCACCTGTGTATGGCAGCCCCGCCTCTGTCAGTGTGCCCCAGGGCGGCTGTGGCTACAATGTAGTTTGCCATCATCAGTGTGTGAATGTGTGTGTGTGCATGGGTGAATGTAAGTGAAGGGACTTGATAAAGCGCTTTATAAGTCCAGTCCATTTACCATTCTCTCTATGCAGGCATGGATTTTCTCCGGGTACTCTTGTTTCCTCCAGCAGACCAAAAACATAAATGTTAGGCTAAGTGGTAACTCTAAATTGTCCCTTAGGTGTGAGTCCAAAGGTATGTTTTTGTTTGTGGTGATTTTAATATAGATTTGTTGAAATCTAATGATCATTCCAATATTGCAGAATTTCTGAATATTATGTTAAGTTTAAGTTTTTATCCAGTAATAATAAAACCTAGTAGAATAACAAAAGATTCTTCAACAATAATAATATCTTTATAAATGATATGGAGGGATAAACCAATAGTGGACTACTAGTGACTGACATAAGTGATCACCTACCTGTTTTTACTGTGTTAAAATTAATAAGAGATAAATCAAGACCCATAAAACAGTCTAGTAAATTGGTGAGAATAAAAATACCCGAGGCAATCACTGCTCTTAAGACAGATCTTTTGATTCATGACTGGCAGGGAGTTTATGTAAATGATACCAATGCTTCAATGCATTTTTTGGATGCATTTCTGAGTTTATATAATAAACACTGTCCGCTAAAACAGTATATGGTAAATTCTAAAAGAGGGAAACCTTGGTTAACAAAGGGACTGGAGAAAGCCTGTAAAAAGAAAAATATATTTTATAGGGAATTTATGAAACACAGCACAAAGGAGAAAGAAGAACAATTTAAAAATATAGAAAAATAGATTGACAAGTATTACAAGATAGCAAAAAAATATTATATTCAGTTGCTGCTGAAGTATAAACATAATATTAAGGCAACTTGGAATTTATTAAACGACATGACAGAATAAGAAAGCGTTTCCAACTTATTTAATGAACAAAGAAAATAAAATAATTGAAAATGTRCAGGAAATGGTTAATGAGATGAATGATTAATGTTATGGATTAACTTATGGTGTTCAGTGGAGTTAGGGTTAGACATAATATAAAATTAAATTTACGTGGACTTGAAATTGAAGGAGTGCCTGAAACAAAATTCTTGGGAATTATCATTAATGGAAGTCATTTATCAGGAAAAAATATCAAAATCGGTTGCAATTATTTTTAAAACCAAAGAATTGTTAAATAGAAGTTGTCTGCATACACTTTATTTTTCACTTGTGCCATATATGTCCTATTGTGTAGAGGTTTGGGGTAATGCTCATAAAACCAATATAGATTCAATAGTTAAACTTCAAAAAAACAGTAATGCTGTTTTTTTATTCGACAAACCCACTATTCTTAAAGTCTTCTGCTTTAAAATTCAGTGATATAGTGTATTTAAGAACACTTGAGTTACTATATCGAGTAAGAATAAATAGTCTTCCTGATGGTATTCAAASATTTTTTTGAGTTACAGGAAAATAATTATAATTTAAGGGGTTCTTTATTTTTGAAGTACTTAAAGTAAGAACAATATCAAATACAGATGTGTTTCAGTACTGGGTGTTAAATTGTGAAATGATTTACCGGTAAGTGACGAAATTAAGTTTAGTGACTCTCTTTTAAGTTTCAAAAAGAAGTTAAAAAGTAAATTAATTATGAGTTATGGTTTATAGTAGTCAGTTGGGATGATGGGTGGTGGTAACATATTAACATATTGCATATTTTTTTGTATTTACGGACAATAATAATAATATTGTTGATAAAAAATTGTATTAATGACTTGCAAATAACCAGGATGTAGTTGAAGTATATGTGTGTGTTATTTTTTTATTTCTATTTTTGTGTGTATTTTGTTTTTGGGAATCCATAATGAATTGTAAGGTGAGGCAAAACAAGCCAATGGCTTCTACCTCTACCTGCTTGGTCATATAGGGTTAAAGTTTTGTTTGTTTTTGTGTGAAGTGTTCTTTAATGGGACCAAATAAAACCATTCATTCATTCATTCATTCATTCATTCATTCATTCATTCATTCATTCATTCATTCATTCATTCATTCATTCATTCATTCATTCATTCAAAATAGTGAATGGTTATTTGTCTTTGTGTGGTCCTGTAATGGACTTGCAACATGTCCAGGATGTACCCTGCCCCTCGCGTATAGTGACTGCTGGATATGGGCACCAGTGACCCCCATGACCCTGAAGGAAGTTGTGGGTAAAAGACAATAGATAGATTGATAAAAACTTGCAAGTTTGTCCAAATGACGCCTATTTGACCACCTATGTTGTATGGTTTGGAGACAGTGGCTCTGACAAAAAAAGGAGGGGGGACAGACCTAGAAAAGGTTGAGATGAATAAAAAAAGGTTAAAAATCAAAACAACTGAACCTYTATTCTGAAGCTGAAGAGATTTTGCTTCTCATCGAGGAAGGTTTCTCAATTCAAAATGTCTGGAGTAGTGTGGGGTTCCAGGCTTTCATGCATYAGTGATAAAATTCACATGAAAATTWACCKGAAYWACTTGCTCTTCMAAATGGAGATTATTYAGGCTTTTTTGTTTACCTGACTCACAGGAGAAATGTTTTCACATGCATGAAGGGGTGAAACTGAATAGGAATCAAATATGTTGATGTATTGTAGYTGAAACCTGAAACTCCTCCTCTGCTCAGTTGTTTTTTTCATGTTTGACATGAATGGTTTCCTTCAACCACCACCAAAAACTTTCTGTTTTCTCTGTCAGCAGATGTGAAGAGGAGGTTGTTGTTGGGAGTGATATGGACTAGGAGATCATCAGAGGTACAGCRCAGGTTGAACGTCTGGGAGATAAAGTTAGAGAGAGCAGAGCGAGAYGGTTTAGGCATGTCCAGAGGAGAGAAAGTGGGTGTGTTGGTAGGATGTTAGAGATGCAGCTACCAGGATAAAATCAAAGAGGAGACATWTGGAGACAACATGGATAGTTGAAATGAGGACAGAGGATGCAGAGCGTTGACTTGCTGTTGAGATCTCTAAAGAGGGAACAGCTGAAAGAAGAAGTATCATCAGCTTGGACATTTACTGTAGGTCTGAGTAGTAACTTTTAGTTTGCATTTACCACATTTCAGGACCTGCAAGTGTTAGTTTTTTTTACATATGTCTTAATGCAGTTGATTATAAAAATAAACGCTACCTATTGTAATTCACTAAACGCGTCTCTCACCTAAATGTATTAATCGTCAAGCAGAGTGAAAGTCTCTTACCTTAACAAGAGGTCTACCCTTCCTCACAGTGATTAGTGTGAGGCAGGTTTTTTTGGCAAGATTTATTTATACTTTGTTGTGCTTCACATCAATAGATCTCTCTTGAAAAAGGGGTTTTTAATCTCAATGGGACTTCCTGGTTAAAAAAAACAACAAGAATTTCTCCGAGGCTGTCCTTCAATGCTTCACATGCAGAATGGAGCTCAGCGTTTGAAAAAAAAAACAGGCAGCAGAATAGAAGTAACCTTTTTTTCCCCTCAATAGCAACATCTCCCCCAATAAAAACATATTTTCCCTTAAGAATAAAAGAAAAATGTGAAGAAAGAGAGATTATACTGAATGAGAGTCAAAGTGATGGAGAGTCAGGAAAGAGGAAATTGAAAGGATAGCAAAGAGAATATTTGAATCAGTTGCAGAAGTAAGGCAAAATAATTACAATCTTTTCCTGAAATGAGTTATATCTCAGTATATAGTAGCTGGTATGAATTATAATTTTTGAAATGAAAAAAATATATATTTTTGTGCAATTTAAGCTCAAATTGGCTATTATTTTATGTTAAGATGTCAAAAAATGAGTACTCCCCTACAGCCAGTAGAGGGCGATATGTATATAAAACTAACAACTGCACAACTAGCTTGGTTTATTTAGTCAGTCAAACGTTTCTTTAAGCTTATGATTCTTCAAATATAATTTAACACAGAGTATAGCTTATTTAATTAAAAACAGTTTTATTTAAAAAAACAAATTCATAAAAACCTAGGTATGCCACATAGTTCAGCCATATTGTGTTCGTCAGAGTATCTTAATAAGAGTCAAGGTTCATGTAGTTTTAAACAAATAAAAGTGACAGCAGAAATGCCATGCTCAGGGCTACTAAATGCTAACATCACAAGAAATCTAGTTGTTTTTTATGGTGTTTGTGTTCAAATCAGGATCTCAAACTGGGCAAAAAATCTCACTTGAATAGAGGAGACTTAATTGCATGTATCAACTTTATACACATGAGCTGAATATGCATTTAAGGATATAAAGTTATACTTATAGTCAGGGTCRGAGTTAAACATTTTTGCAAGGGTGGCACCGGGATGGTCAAGGTGTTCTCAGTCTCTGATGGAGGACGGCTGGAAACTGACGTGTATCATAAACCCACCCACACAGACCAGTATTTGCGGTTTGACTCCCTTCACCCACTGGAACACCAGTTAGGAGTTATCAGGACTCACAGAGCAGACAGTGTTCCCACAAACACAGGAGCCAGGGAGAAGGAGAAGTCACACACAAGACAGGCCCTGGAGCAGTGCCGTTATCCTAACTGCGCTTTTCTGAAAGCAGACAAGAAACCCAAACAGGACTCTAGCCAACAACCAGGTGAGGTGAAAATGAAGACCCCAAACCCAGACCCAGACCAGTGGTCATTACGTATGTTGCGGGAGTTTCAGATGGCTTTCTAACCCCAAAACACATTATGGCAAAGATTGGTTCACACCAAAAATCCAGTCCCCCAGCACAAACAAAGTAATGTTGTGTTTTCTGTTAAGTGCTAAGAGGACTGTGATCAGTCATACATTGGGGAAACAAAACAGCCACAGTTCAAAAGAATGGACCAACACAGTAGAGCTTAGTGTTGGGCATAATCATATCGTGTGCAATTAATCGTCAGAAAAACATTAATCGGTTATTTTTTGGCACTTGACGATTAATACAATTAATGCCAGCTGGCAGACTGACTGAAGATTTCTCCAGACAGTCCGCACGGTGCTCCTCTCCGCTTCAAATATGATAAACATTTTTAAAAAGTTGTGTAATTTATTTAACTATCAACACAGTTTAGAATTTGATTTATAGCCTGAAGTCTGTAATTTTAACACAATTTGGAACATATTATGAAGAGCAAATTTTCCCACTAAATTGGTCATGTGACTAGGACGTGTACAGGGACTCCAGGGGATTAATTGTCAAATAAATCGCTATCGACTAAATACCACAATTAATCGTGATTATTTTTTTTGCCAACATTGCCCAACCCAAGCAGAGCTACATCATCAGGCCAGGACTCTGCAGTTTACACTTATCTACAGGCCAGGATTCTGCAGTTTTCACTCATTTACMGGCCAGCGGTCACTCTTTCAGAGATGAAGATGTTCTCATCCTTGATAGAGAGGAACGTTGGTTTGAGAGAGGAGTAAAGGAAGCCATTTTTGTAAAGAAAAAACATCCATCGTTAAACAGAGGTGGAGGTCTCTTGTCCCCCTCTTACAATGCTGTTACTGCAAGTTTAACTCAGCACCCTGTGGACAATAGGTGATAATCAGGGCCCCAATAGTCAGGTGGTTGGTGCACACGATSCTCTATGAATAATAGGTGATGATCAGGGCACTACTGATCCATTGTYAGGCTGATGGTCCTCCTTTGCATGTGAACACACAGCATTGATGTTCGTTTGTCCACCAGTGCTTAAAAGGTTTACCTCAAACCCCTCAGACTGAAGAAGTCTCTTGGAGGAGAGACGAAATGCTTCAGAACTCCCAAATCCCTGTCATTTGACCAACATTACCTATAGTTCCCATGGAACTGTCAAATGACAGTTTGAATTAGCATTTTTGCGTCCATTGGTATGTATATGAGGCCATTTACAGCACATTACAGAATCAAAGTGGCCATCTTGGTTGAATGAATAGTGTGGGGGATGTTTGCTAGTCAAGCACAAACAAAGAACTCAGTTTCAGTTGCAACTCAGTACAATTTGATACAAWAAAGGACATGTTTGACTTTATACCAATGTGCCTTTACATTTTGAAAATCTGAAATTCAGATGGACAGGCAGGCAGTAGGCCAAATGGTTTGTGGATAACTTATATWATAAACTGCACCAAAGTAAATAGCCTATCTGCAATGCTGAGTGAAATAAAATTGAATAAAGTTGTTTCACTGCAATTTTTTCTTGGAAACAAACAAAATGGTGGTGTAGCAAATCAGTATTGCCACATCATCAAAGTGGCCATCTTGGTTGAATGAATAGTGTGGAGGATGTTTGCTAGTCAAGCACAAACAAACAATTCACTTTCAGTTGCAACTCAGTACAATTTGATACAATAAAGGACATGTTTGACTTTATACCAATGTGCCTTTACATTTTGAAAATCTGAAATTCAGATGGACAGGCAGGCAGTAGGCCAAATGGTTTGTGGATATAAACTGCACCAAAGTAAATAGCCTATCTGCAATGCTGAGTGAAATAAAATTGAATAAAGTTGTTTCACTGCAATTTTTCCTTGGAAACAAACAAAATGGTGGTGTAGCAAATCAGTATTGCCACATCATCAAAGTGGCCATCTTGGTTGAATGAATAGTGTGGGGGATGTTTGCTAGTCGAGCACAAACAAAGAACTCAGTTTCAGTTGNGTACCACTCTAAATACCTGTGTACCACTCTAAATACCTGTGTGTACCACTCTAAATACCTGTGTACCACTCTAAATACCTGTGTACCACTCTAAATACCTGTGTGTACCACTCTAAATACCTGTGTACCACTCTAAATACCTGTGTACCACTCTAAATACCTCTGTACCACTCTAAATACCTGTGTACCACTCTAAATACCTGTGTGCAACACTCTAAATACCTGTGTGCAGCACTCTAAATACCTGTGTGTACCACTCTAAATACCTGTGTAACACTCTAACTACCTGTGTGCAGCACTCTGTCGATCTTGATGCTCTGGTTGTCCAGCTCCTTGGCGAAGGCGTGCACAGCCTGCAGCAGGTCCTCACAGGTCTCCGGGTCGATGTARGTCCTTCTTGTTGGGATTTTAACTGGAGTCAAACACAAAAAGAGAAATCCTCCATGAAAYAACTCATTGCTGCCTGTAGGGCACAACCCAATACTGACTACACAAACACAAACACACACCCGTCTGAACAAAGAAACACAAGATAAAAGTCTGAGGCAGCACAAACAGACTCTGGTCCCATTAGAGTCCAAATAAATCCAAGTAGAGGAGCTTGTTAACATAAAGAAGTGTTATTCTCTGCTCYCTGAAGCTTCCAGCTTTAACAAACACTTCCTGTCTGTGTGATTTACTGAACATTACAGCTCTTTGATCTGSAGTTTGTTTCAGGAGGACTGGACCAGCAGAACTCACCCTGCAAACAGCTCCTTTTTCTTCTTTTTCAAATATTTTCATCTTTATTTTGTTTGTTTTTTTCTACCTTCTAAACTCTGTGCCGACAAACCCAAAAGCTTTATGCTTCCATTAGTTCACAGAACCTTGCAGGAAATGTTCTGTATCACACACACACACACACACACACACACACACACACACACACACACACAGAGTAAAACTGGGACAAACAATAATGGGATTTAAAATGCTCAGGCAGAGGAACCTTAAAGCTGCAGCTGTTTTCTTTTCAAGTTCTGTAAAAAACACAGAAACTAAAAATCCAAACAACAGTTTAAAGAAACTAAATAGTGAAGAGTCAAAGTCCAGTCATTACTGAAACAACAACACCTGTTGACCTCAGTGACACTTGATGGACCACATGAATCACTCCAGTCATGTATTTAACCCCTCGCTGTCTGAAAAGCAGGAAGGATTGAAGAACGTTCTCAAACGTTCTGACCTACAGCCACTCTGTCACTGACAGCTTTGTCCAATCAAATGTGTCCGAGACAAAGACCGTGCACATCAGCTGATGCTCCGACTCTGTATTCACCAGAACCTCTCCAGATAGCAGACCAGATCACATTAACACACACACACACACAAACACACACACACACACACACACACACACACACACACAC